GTCTTCCCAAATAGACTTCTTGTTACCCAATTTCAACAGATTTACACAGCCACAAGGACTTATCTAGTGTTTGCACTGCCTATTGCCGGTTTGCATTCCTTCATATAACTACAACCTTGTCCCAAAGAACAATGTTATGTGACTTGTTACACAAATGCCCTATGACTTACCAGTCATGCTGGTGTGATCGCCATTACAGGTATCCTAATCCAATCGTTAGTAACAGTTGCTGTAATACGAATATTACATAAGTGATTATCCAAATTTTCATCATCGATGGGATTTGAACACCCAACCTACCACTTGGAGGGTTAACAATCTGACCACTTCACTAGGTTGCCACACCCTTACTTTTACAAGTCTTTCTATACTACTAATTTAATTAATTATATAATATAACTTTATATCTAATTTAAATAATAACCAAGTTAGTAAATCCTTTTATTTAAGATTTTTATTAATACAGATTATCTGCTTTAAGTTTTTGTCTCTAAATCAAGATTTTCACTAGTAATATTATAAAACATTATACTACCTTTCTATTCAAAATTTTCAAATAAGATTTTTTATAGAATATTTATTTTCCAAATTTATTTGTATGATATTATATATTTTAAAAATTAATCTTAGTACAACCAAAATTACAAAATTATAATCTCAAATATTCTAATCAAATTGTCAGAATAAAACTATTTTTCAAAATTCTATCATAAATAAAATTTAAATTCTAAGTCTATTGCTTAAAAGATAACAATCCAATCACTATACTGGAATTACTATTCTTATAAAATTAATTGTTTTAATCAACATAAATCAATTTAATAAAAAAAAAAAGAAGTGTAACAACTTAGTAAAGTGGATAAGTTGTCAACCTTCCAAATGATAGGTTGTAAGTTCAAAACCTACTGATGATAAAAATTTAAATAATCACTTATATAATACATAGATGGTATTATGATGACAGCATTCTGTTGATCAGTTAGAATAGGATACTTGTAACTATGGTTATACTAGCATGACTGACAGGTCATGGGTAATATTATCAATAGACAGGTGTAAACAGACATGTAGACAAATGTATAGACAATATATGAACATGTTATACAAAAAAGAAATGTTAATAACTTAAAAGTTTATTATGCCAACTTGATTTTGTATATTAAGTAAAAATGTTTATCATTAAATTTTATATATAATTGTATATTTTTAATAATATATATTAAGCAATGAGATGCATAAATATCATAAATATCTGTGGATATGGTTATGAATATAGACTAGACATGGACATGAACAGCCAAAAAAATCTATAAACATAATAAATGTGACAATACTAGTCATAGGGTATCCATATAACTTTGGTTATACAGAGAAATGCAAACTAGTACTGAATGGTGCAAACCTAAAATAAGTTCTTGTGCCTGTGTAAATCTGTAGAACTGAGAAACCAGGACCCACTTGAAAAGACTTGAATAGAGAAGTAATATAGATCTTTGACAGTACCACTGTAAAGGTTAGATCTAGGAAACAGATACCAATATGAAAAAACTGGACAGACAAGAACCTCAGATAAGGAGTACCACCAACCAGGCCACTAGAACTGAACTGAAAGAAAAGAATATTGAACTGGCTTAATATACCAAGGACAGGTTACAATCCTACTAAGTTATCTGAACTGGAAGTCTGAACTCAAAGCAGAAGTATACTATAAGTACTAAGAATATGCTGTGAAGTAGATACTGAGATTTGGATGAACTCTATAAGAACTAATCTTGTTAATGTTTTGTAGAATAGATAAATAGTTAACAAAAAGATATCCCAAAACCTTATAGTCAGGTGACATATTCTGAAATGTTTAACAGCTTAACAAACATACAAAAGAGGAAACTAAATATTGGGTTAGACAACACTTAGTTGTACAGAAACCAGGTGTTACTTATCTGAATGTAATATAAGGATCAGAGTATTTAAATAGGTACCCTTTTAGTAGATTACAGACATGACAACTAGTATAGAACCCTTGGGCGGACTACTTAAATAGGTAACCAAAAGTTACACATGTGACTAGTTGCACACTTACCTTGTACAAGTCATATGTAATGCATTAACCAAAAACACAAATAAAGGCAGTAACTACCAATAACATTGACTTTAATAAAAAAAAATAAAATAAAATAAAAAAAAATAAAAAAAAAATAAAATAAACAATGTCAAAAATACAAAAAATAAGTGTCTAAACCTACCTTGAAACATTAATAAAAAATGTTAAAAAAGTAATTTTACTATAAAACCTACCTTTAACTAACTCCTAATCAAGATGTCACATTTTAAATTAAAGGTAACATGTAAATTGATATGAATAATGCTAGTCAATAGAAACTGTGAAAAAAATTAGTAAATGCGATACATAATAAATCATAATTCGTGTAACGTAATATGATATTCGTTTTGTCAAAAATCACTTATATCTCAAAATTTTGCTTAAGAAACTGCCTTCTACACATTAACAAAAAGTTTTCCTTGAATGATTTTACTATAGGAACATCTAAGGAATTTTATAAATCATCACGTGATATTGATACTTTAGGAGAATTTGGCAATCTTCGCAGTTTAACCTATACTTGCTGGCCAAATCCCAAATTACTATAGTTTGAGTTTGTGTCCGCGCCCAAATCCCAAACTCTAATATCTTAAAAATTTTATTACTAATCTTCACCTTGGTGTTGTAAAAAGGAACGAAATTGACAAAAAAAGAAAAGATATTCGAAAATCAATTTTATAAATTTATAATAAATCATAAGAAAATGCAAACTTTAAAGAGCTATACTGCAAAACTTTATTAATATAACTACTTTTTGTGTCTTAAGTAAAAAATGATCCAAAACTTATTTTAAATTGATTTATGAAAAAAAAATCTTTTGAAAAAATTGTCATTTTCGTTCCTTTTTATAGCATTTTCATTCCTTTTAGCCCATATACTCTTATGGTTCTATATAATATGTCTGCGAAATTTAAAGATTATTTCTTTGATTCAATTTTTTGTAAATGCTACGTATTTATTTTTTTAGGGTTTGGGAATGTATAGTTTAACCCTCGACATCCTAATCCTGGGGTAGTTAATGATCAAACCACTGATCACGGGACCTTCCAGCACGAAAGCGATATGTATTCACATTTTGATGCAGCATTTAACCCTTCTCAATTTCAGTTTTTTTTTCAATCGCTATCTACACACAACATATTGCGAGCACTAACTTTCACCGAAGAACCGATTTTCATCGTGACAATAACGATAAGTATAGCCATTATTAATTGAAAATTTAAATAACCATTTATCTCATTGATTAAGCAATTAATTAAATTATACCTATCTGTTTCATGTGCTCGTTCGCACGATATTATACTATCTGCATGCTCGATTAGAATTAATACAGCACTTTTGAATCTAACCGGATTGCTTCCGGCATATCCTTACTTAGTCATCGTATTGTTGACTTCTGTCAACTTGAATATATTCAATTCAAAATTCTTTGAAAAATACATGCCATAGAAGTTTGTTGTAAGCATTTTTAATAGTGATTTGTGATGTAGGTTTTTTATAATGGCTTATTATATTGCAGTTTACTATAACAGTTTGTTGTATAACAAATTTGTTATATTTATATTTTAATAATCTTATAACATTTTATAATAATTGTTTTGTAATGACTATGTAATGGTCGTATAATGGTTTTGAATATTCGAATTAATTCAAATCCATACTTAATACGAATTGATTCGAATATTCATTTATTCGAATATTCGATTCCAACCTCTAGTCTCCATCCTTCTGATGCTTCGATGGATTTGGTGGCTCAATTGGTGATGTCGCCTTACGTTTCTTTTCATGAATATGATTGGTCTCAGGTGCCCCATTACGTTCCAATAAAAGAGATTTAAGAAGATTTTTCTATTTAATTACAAAGAAAGTATAATTTATGCATATATGAAATGATAATCCTTATGAGATGAACAAAGATTATTTCATATTCGTACCTCTATTTCAAGCTCTGTGACCTTCTGTTCCAAGTATTCTCTTCGATCACGTAATTTGCGTTCATTAATAACTTCATTTTCTAATTCACGTACACGGTCCTCTAGGTATTTATTCCTTTCAAGAAGTTGTTGCATGTCTCTTTGAGATGTCGATTTGGGATGAATGATGCGACCATCAATATCTTGCTGTTCACTTGGTACCAATGATTCGGGTGCCCTTCGTGTTTCGGAAATTTGTACATTAAATTCAGGGCTAGGTGCATATTGTAACTGATAATGAGGTGCAGCACCGTTGGTAGGTATAGACGTGGGTGTTTCTACTGGAAATATGATTTGATGATTTGGCATTATGATATTTGAGGTAATTGGTTTTGCTTGTAATGCATTAGATTGATTAGATGATGGTTGTTGATTTTTTAGTTGGGGAGGCCATGAATGATATTCTGGATTCATCATTTGCTGTCGTTTGTAATAATCTTGAGTTTGTCTCGATACGTCAATTTTTGAATGAGAAGTTGTCGATAGATTCGATACCTGCTTGTTCGGTAATTCCTCAGAAGTCTGCTTGAATTGCTGTTGTTGTTGTACCTGTTTTTGCGATACTGGCGATGAATTTGATTTTGGATCTGATTGTAATGCTGTCTTTGATTGCGGCTGAGATGTAGACAGTAGTTGTGGCTGTGGCGTAGTTTGTTGTGGCGAAAGCTGAACTGGTGGCTGTTGTTGTACTTGTTCTGCCGACTTCGAGTCAGAACCTTGATATAGTTTTTTCTGTGGCCCACCACAAAAACTTTCTGCGCGCAAATGTCTATTCAATGCATCTAATCTTGCAAAACTTCTCTTACAATAATTGCATTGATACGGTTTTTCACCTGTATGCAACTTCATGTGCCTTTTCAAATCATGTTGCCTACGAAAGAAATGCTGACATACGTTACATTGAAAAGGTTTTTCTTGAGAATGAGTTAAAGCGTGAGACTTTAGATTATGTTGTCGACTAAATGTTTGATTACACGTCCCGCAGACGAATGGTTTTGCTTTTGCAGGACTAGGACTATTAGGTTGACCAAGAGTTGTCTGTTCTGGATTAACAGGAAATTGATTAAATGATCCTAGTTGAGAAGTGTCTATAGGTGTGGAAGATGGAAAGTTAACCAACCCTGCCGATATTGAAGTATTGGTGGTGGTAGGTTAAAAGATTTTATCAAAGTTTAATCAATTATTGTCAATTATTAGTAATAGATGAAATTAATATAATGTAGAGAGGATTATATAAATGCATATATTTTAATGATAGCAGATAAAATAGTTACCTTTCGGATCAGCAGTTGTCTCTTTTTGAGGAGTTGAAAGAGTTTGTTTTTGTGTAGAATCGGAGATAGTAGAATTTGACATTGTTGATTTACAGTCAGAGGAAGAGTTTGAAGACCAACTAACCGTTGGAACGGTTGACGGTTGAGAAGGAACAATTGAAGTAGTTGAAGGGGAAATAGAATTATCTTTATTCGAACCAGAAACAGCAACTTGCTGTGTTTGAGCCTCTACTTTTTGAATGTGTAGAGAATTATCCGTTACCTGCGTGTGAGTTGGTAAAGAATTAGGCGAAGCGGCGTTGGGAGGCGCAGTGGAGTCAACGTGGGAAGCTGAGGCTTCTTCCCTATTAACTTCATTTTGTGTATTGTCTTTAGCGCCATGAGTATTAGCTTTTGATACTTTGACGCTGTCCATATTTTAAATAAAGGGAAAATTGTTGAGAAACTATGATATTTGCAAAGTGTGGCTTGAGAAAGGCTATGTGTACACTGAGAAGAGGTGGGGGAGGAAAATTGTGGTTTTTTAAAAGGTCCAATACAGGCACAGCCAACTAAGGCGAGAAAAGGGGTGCAAAGGTAACTTGCATGAACATCTGTATTTCACTGCAATATGACTAAACAAAAATGGCACCATACCGGTTAAATACAGGTTTTATAAAGTATGACGAAAGAAGTGATGGTGTGACGGTGCCATACTAGTCATCGAGGTTCGGGTTCTTTATTCTATTTTTAGGCTTAAAACTACGATACCTGTGAGTGAAGAGGCCAAAAAAGAAGGGTCTCAAGTTTAGCCATGGCACATTGACACAACAATCGAAAGTGACTTATTATCGGATGCATTTCGAAATGGAAGGATAAACGAACACAAAAATCCTTTTAAATGAGTGGTGGCGTTTGATTTGGAAAAATGCGACAAATGAGAAAAAAATGGAAAGCCACAATGTTTATATGAGATCATTGTGGTGCCGAAATGTAATCTGATACGTTATTAGCCGATTTACACCGCCGAATGATCCAGCCAAAATTAGTAGTATCAGCAAGTCAAAAATTTTATTTTATTCTTTTTTTTTTTAATTAATAAATAAAAAGTATGCACATACGATGTACATGCATACGTAAGTAAAAATATATATTGATATACGCAATCATCACATGACTTTATTTTATATTGTATATCGATACATATTTAATTAATGCTGCACACTAAGAACAATTTTACCGATACTTTTTCCTGATTTTAAATATGTCAATGCTTCTATAGCTTGATCGAAACTAAATTCGTGTATATTTGACGGCGGTTCCAATTCTAAAGTCTGAAGTTTACCAAATATTTGATTCAACCATTCTTCACGTTCATATAGATGGATTAAATTGAAACCAGAGAGCTATATATGTTATAATAAAAAATTAATCCAAAGAAAAAAAGTGTAAATTTTATATCAAAAAATGAATAAAGGCTTACAGATTTATTATCCTTAACAATTTGCATAGGATCAATTTTTGGCCTCCAAATGTATTTCCATCCCAATTTTATCCATTGAATTACATTCCATACGGGATGTAAATTTCCTGTTGGTGTAAAACTTGCTGATCCATATAGAACTAGTTTACCCTCTTTTTTCAGTAAATTATAATTTGGCCAAAACCAATCCCCCATTACACTATCTAACACTATGTCAAATAAATCTTCTTGATCTATCTTTAACAAAGCTCTCTTTGCTCGGCTTTCAAAATCTTTAGCTGGTTCCCGAAGAATAAACGTAAAATTCGGATTTTCTCCATATTTTTGATTTAAAAAGTCTAGCTTTGATAATGTACCAACTGTGCCCACAACTTTTGCCGATTTCTTGCTAAGAATGGAAAGTGCTGCTAAACCACATCCTCCTGCAGCTGAGTGTACTAAAACATTATTATTTGGTTTAAATCGTCCAAGCTCTTCGAGTGCATAGTAAACAGTTAGTGTTTGGACCTGCATCACAATTAATACATTATTAACTATTCTATCCTTGGTACGTACGTACGTATATAGTCGATATTTTGGATAGTATACTTACGATAAAGGCACAAGCCTGCTTATCAGTCCAATCCTTTGGTATTTCCCTAACATAGACTATTGGCACATTAATATAAGTCGCGTAACTACCAAACCTTGCAGCTCCGTAAACGCGTTTTCCTATCCAGTCTTCAGAAATACCATCGCCTACACTCTCAACTATTCCCGAATATTCAAAGCCCGGAGTCAATTTTCCCTCAGGAACAGCTGAGTAAAGACCAAGTATTAAAAATATGTCTGCATAGTTAAGTCCTATAAATTTAACCTTAATGCGAATATGTTCAGGAGGAGGCGGTGGCAATTCTTCCTTTTCTTGTTTAAGATTTGCAAAAGTTCCTGCTTTGTCCGCTACCCATACTTTGCGTACTTGTGTAGTCATTTTTAACTTTATGATGCACAGTTGCCACAGAAAATAATGTCCAATTGTTTTTTTTTATTTTATTTGTACACTGTTGTACAGACTTGTGCAACTTAATTCTTTAATGGCACCAACGAATTGAGCAGATGGCTTATCAAATTCGTGAGTACGTAGTAACCAATGTTGGGCTGACCAGACTATGGCTGTAAACCAAACCCAGTAATTTGAATTCCAAAGGTTCTATAATTATGTGTCGTAACCCAAACTATATTTGGAACAAGTCAAAACTTTGCCAACAAAATTTTTATGCTCACGTGATACCTGACAAAATTCTTTAAGGGTAGGGGGTGGTATTTTAAAATTATATATAAACCTAATGGTAATTTTTTTTTATATTTAATTTTATAAAAAATTATATTAAGTAAAC